CTTTTAACTGTTTCACAACTGGCACCAGTCAAAACCAGACAAAACTCTATTCAACTACCAGCTGTATGTACGTGATCACCAGCATTCCCTTATAACAAATCTAAATCTCTGGAATCAAAAAAAGAGGCTTATTTCTTTAGCGATATATATTTTAATGAGCTTTGGGAAACTAAGAGGCACAGACTCTTCCCAAAGTTCCTCAAAAGAAATAAACAAACCAAAAGCAAAAACAGCAACAATCACCCCCCAAAACAACAACAACAACAACCGCCAACCCCCCCCCCACACAAAACAAGTATTCCCAACTGCAGTTGTCTCTACTGGGACAAACGACCATCTCTATTGGCCTCAAGACCACTTTAACAATGTGTTGCAGAAGCAATGATGAATTGAGAATGATTTAATAAAATAAACGTTTCCATGTTACAGGCATTTTGCTACGTGTGACATTCTCTTTTATCTCTGAGCAAATATGTAACTTTTAAAATCAGTTTTTAGTAATTTTTGCCATTAAATAAAAATCAGAAAATAAAAAAAAATTGAATTTTGAATAAACACATCAAAAACACCACAGATGAGAAAAGGAGATGCTTGATCTCACAATCTAAAACAGTTGATCTGAAAGATCAAATGTTTAAATAGATTAGTTAGTTAAAATTATGGTAGTTGAGAACATCCCTGGCTCTGCTCCTACTATCCAGGTACATCAAAATATTATATTAGTATATATATCAGTCAATATTGTTAGTTAACACCTATTTTTACCTCTCCTTAAAGTAAAAAAAAAAAAAAAAAAAAAAAAAAAAAAAAGCTTAAAAACTTTTAAGGATGTTAATGAAAAAATATGCAGTGACATTACAGCTTTTAGCACTGGATTAAATAAAAGGAAGTAATAATAAGATATGATTTTAATGATATGGGTCACACATGATTAGGCAATATATAGAACACCCAAAGAAAGGTTAATTAAATCTTACAATATATTTTAATGGAGAGCTTCTGTTTTTAAATAACTGCGGGAAAAAAAGCCTGCCATTTCTTCAGAACAAATTCTTGCTTGCATGCACTTCTGACTGATGCAATGACTGGAGAATGAAAAGACTGACCTTTTTCAATTTGAACAGGAATTGCAACAGCTCATCAGTGTAAATGGTGCCAGTCACAGAGCTGCTTTTTCAGTTCATGACACCTTCAGTCAGTTTTTGGTAGAGTACAGGATTTGATACATGCTATTTAGCATTATTTTAGACAGACTGAAGAAATACCTGAACACATGAAGGTCTTTCCAGAAGTTCATCAACACCAAAATGTGCAAAATAATTGCCTTCCCATTCAATTTGTAAGATGACAGACACAGAAGGATAAGGCTTGAAAATCCTCTTTTGAAGAGGAAAGAAATAAGTGACAGGAGAGGAGGAGTTTAAAGCTCAAACCTAATGTAACCATTTCTTGCTGAGAAGAGCAAGCACCTGAATAACCATTTCTCCACAGCTGGAAATGCACAGCTGGATGCATATAATGACAACACAATTTCTGGCCTGCCTCAATTATTATTTTTAGTGACAAAACACATAAATTGAAATTTTGTCACAACATAAAGAGCGGAGCTTTTGAGGTCTACATGATTTGGGATGGTTTTAGTCAGGACAAGAGTATTAAAGAATAAATACATTTAGAAGCACCGTGTATTTCGTGGTTCTTACGACAACACCTATATAGCAAGTAACTCAGAATTCCTGGGAATAAATACAGTAGAGTTCAACTGTGGAAGCCTCATGCACCTTCTTGTGTTCCTTGGGGATTATCACTTAAAAACATGTTTATTGCAGCTATGCAGACAAGTTTTTTTCTTTGAAATGAGTGGAAAATACAATGATGAGTGAAAATATATGCTAAGGTGAAGAAAAGGTTTTATTATTATTATTATTTTTTTTTATGAGAACTGGCTATCTTCGGATATTCACATTGCAGAGATGCATATGGAAAAGCTTATAATTTTAGCATTGGCAGAAATATTTTTAAAATAAGCAATAAAAATGACACTGCTTGGGAGTGTCCTGATGGTGCAGTTGTGAAATATGAACAGAGTCCTCCCTGAGGACATTACATCTCACTGGTAGCCAATGAATAAACAGCTCTGGTAATTGGCACACTGGAGAAAACCAATCCTTTATAATGCTCCAGAGTATATGTGATTAAACACTACACTCTACCATTGGGGAATGAAAGGAAGGAATATTCAGTTTTTATTACCAAGCATCTCATGCAGAGCCCTTGCCGAAGGAAAAATGACAGACGAGACCCTCACAATCAACCTTTCTAGGTCTGATAAAAAAAAGCTTGGGAGTTGCCAATCCCACCTAATAGACCAAATTTATGGTACAAGCCAAAATGGTAGTTACTGCATGAACTGGTGTGTCCAATTGCTGTCACAACCTGAGCTAGCCCATTCAGTGACAGACGCAGCACTGCACCCTGCCATGATGACATGTTCTTCAGGACTACCTGTTTCTCAATCAAAACAGCTCATTTTAGTTGCATAGTTTTAATTATTAGCTAGGATGAAGAAGCTGGCAATACACAGCTTTCCAGTTGGGTCCCCTTCCTGCAGTTATTGCCCTGCATAGCAGATCAGCACAGAAACACTCATATGTTTGTAAGATGTCATCAGCTGGACACTATCAACTTATGGTTTAACTGCCCTGACACACAGCTGCAGAACAAAACAGTAGTAAGAGCCACCAGGAATTGAAACAGGGTTCTAAGTCTGACTTAGCTGAGGTCGTAATGTTATATATTCCTATACCAGCCAGAAGAAAAGAGTAGTTGTCATAGTTGAATCGTCCAGAGGGTTCATCTGGACCTATAAATTCCCAAGTAGCACTGCCTTCTCATCTTACTTGAATTAGGACTGAACTTGAAATGCCTATATATAAATATGTGTGTATATATATATATATATATATATAAATTCATAAATAGCTCTCTCACTGATAGAAGGAAAATGGTTCATATGCTGAATGGATCAAAGATAGAAAACGGTCTTTCATACTCTGAAACCTGGTTCTGACTCCTTTGAGTAGTTTAAAATATTTGCATTTACTTTCTGATTTCTATATCAAAACAAAATGCAAATAAGGTGAGACTGCAATCTTCCGTCTGCTTCATTTTGAGCTATTTATTTTTATTTGGAATTGGGATCAAAGAATTCCTCTGTGTTTGAGAAGCAAACAGTGACGTTTCAGCCCAGTTATTATTACATGCATTCCTAGAGCCCATCACTGTAAGTGTCTAGGCTACGCTGGCCTGCAATCACAGATGCACAGGCTTTTATTGCAGAGCTATATTTAAACACACCCTAAATACTCTAAAGCGTGTTGTTGTAGTTGCTGCTCCTGCCCGTTTCCAAAGGAATGCCTTCCACCATGGTTGATCGTTTTATGTTACTCTTAAAAAAAAAAAAAAAAAAAAAAACCACACACAGCATCCTTCAGCATCTTTCACAGAGAATTCCACTTTTCTCCTAACTAGCGGAAAGCATTTAACTATATTGCCACTGTGATTTATTTTGAAGGCAGGAACACTTGCAATTGCACATTCCAACAGGCGCAGATGGTAATCGGGCTAACTCATGCAAAGTAATCAATTGCCCCTGTTTTGATAGTAGGTTGTTGTATGGCATATGGCGTATAACAACCTACTGTCAGCAGGGTGATATAACAACTTCAAGAGCAGATTTCCCTTGTCATTGGATTAGATTGTATTATTCCCTCTCAGAAAAAATGAACATATGAGTGAACAATTTTAGGTATATGCCATAGAGAGAAAAAAAAAAAAAAAAAGAAAAAAAAGAAAAAAAAAAAGAACTATGTTAGGGACCAATCTTGTAGTCTGGCATTAAGAGCTGCGTGAGATAGCTCTGGATTTACATAAAATAGAGATGAAAATGATGCTGCAGTGAAGAAAAGCTTCTGAAATTTACATTATTTGGGCCAAAGTCCTTGGCATGGGGGGAGGCACTCTATAATTACATTAAATTATTATATTATTTTAATTATAAACTGTAATGGAAGTTTTCTTTA